GTTAGATTACCCAAAACTGAAAAATAATGTACATTTCAAAATTATACCAAAAGGCCTTTTTCAAGGACACAACATGGGTTAACAATTCAAAGCTGTTCTGCAGCAGTGAAGGTTGATCAAGCCTTGAAAGCTGGTGCTACTAATTCCTACAGGTGTTCCAACTTGGATTACTTCCAACCCCCTCTGTCTGCATAAAACAGTGTTGAACATACTGTGGTGCCATACCCTAGTGAGCATCAGCTGAACTGTACTGTACTGCAGAAAGTAGTGTGTTGCTACAAAAATGGTGAGAAAAAGACCATTAACAGTGGAAGAGAGAGAGAGACCATCATAACACTTAAAAATGTGCGTCTGTCCTGACAGAGAAAGTCAAAGTGTCAGTGAGTACAGTTTCCTTCACCGTCAAACGCACTGAGAAACAAACTGTGACAGGAAGAGGTCTGCAGACCCAAAGACACGACTGAATCAGAGGACAGGTTTCTGAGAGTTAACAGCTTGTTTGATAGACGGCTCACAGGACAACAGCTTCAAGCACAGCTATCTCAAAGAGCTTCATGATGTCGTCACCTGAAATGGTTTCATTTCACAGGTGTGCCTGTCAGGGTTCATTTGTGGAGTTTCTTGCCTTCTTAATGTGGTTGGGACCATCAGGTGTGTTGTGCAGAAGTCAGGTTGGTACACAGCTGACAGCCCTGTTTGACAAATGCATTAATTTATAATATGGCAAGAACCAATGAGGTAAGTAAAGAGAAATGACAGCCCATCAGTCAGTCTGGAAAATTGCTAAAACTCTGAATGTGTCCCCAAGTGCAGTCACAAAAAAATGCTATGACAAAACTGGACCGCCCCAGGAAAGGAAGACCAAGAGTCGCCTCTGCTGCTGAGGATACATTCATCCGAGTCCCCAGGCTCAGAAATCACAAGTTAACAGCAGCTCAGATTAGAGCCCAGATAGATGCCACACAGAGCTACAGTAGCAGACACATCTCTACATGTTCAGAGGAGACTGTGTGCATCAGGCCTTTATGGTCAATCAGCTGCTAAGAAACCATGACTAAGGAAAAGCAACAAGCAGAAGAGATTTGTTTGATCCAAGAAACAGAAGGATGGACATTAGACCAGTGGAAATCTGTGCTGTGGTCTGATGAGTCCAAATCTGAGATCTTTGATTCCACCCACCGTGTCTTTGTATGACGCTCATGAAGGTGAACGGATGGTCTCCACATGCATGGTTCCTACTGTGAAGCATGGAGGAGGAGGTGTGATGGTGTGAGAGTGCTTTGGTGGTGACACCATTACTGGGATTTTTTTCAAAATTGAAGGCACACTGAACCAGCATGGCTGCCACAGCATCCTGCAGCGACATGCCACCTCATCCAGTTTGTGTTTAGTTGGACCATCATTTATTTTCCAACAGCACAATGAGCCCAAACACACCTCCAGGCTGTGTGAGGGCTGTTTGACCAAGAAGGAGAGTGATGGAGTGCTGCACCAGACAGCCTGGCCTCCACAGTCACAGTGACCTAAACCCAATGGAGACGGTTTGGGATGAGATGGAGCGCAGAGTGAAGGCAAAAGGACCAACAGGTGCTCAGCATCTCTGGGAACTCCAAGACTTTTGGAAAACCATTTCTGGTGACGACCTCATGAAGCTCAGAGAGAGAGTGCCGAGGGTGTGCAAAGCAGTAATCAAAGCAAAGGGTCGATATTTTAAAGTATCTGAAATATAAAACATGTAAATATTCATAAAAATAATGAAAAACTATTAAATGAGAAGATGTCATTTCAGTCCGTGGTGCACCAAAATAATTTTCCTTAATACAGCTATAATTGTGCTAACTTTTGTGTGAATGTGTTTGTTTTTGCAGTAAACTGGATGAGGATAATCTCTACATGGCCTACGCAGACATCATGGCTAAGGTATCTGTTATCTGAGTACCAACACTTTTGAATTGAGACTCACATAGCTGGCTTAGCATAGACGGTGAAAAAAAACGGTTATTGTTCTGTGTGCTGTTTATGTCATAGACCAGGGCTGATGGTTTTGGGCTGATGGATTACTTGCAGGGTGCTGTACTGCCTAATCAAATCACTTATTGCAACTGGCACCTCCCCTACCTTCAATGTAGAATAGTTTAGTGTGGCCTGAAAAGCTAAGAGAGGAAAAAGAAATGAAAAACAGATGCACCAAACTGTGGCAAATTAACCAAATGTTAGCAGCTGCACTGTTAACAGTAGCACTAGCAGTTACTAGTAACTAGTCTTCTGGATGGTAGAGTTGTTGTTGGTTCAGGATACTGTTAATATATCACTGCTTAGTGATTGCAGTCCGAATTGGGTCTGCTGGGTATATTTCTTCAGACACTTTATGCTGTCAAGGCCGGGAGACCAGTACGTGGGAGTGAACATAAGTGCAGACACAATACAGAGCGGAAATAAGATTTCACAAGTTTTATTGAAATCACAGAATAAACTATGGTAAGACATGAATACGTGGCAGGGGTTGCTCTGGAGGTGGGTAGCCGTCTGAGTGTTGAATGAGTGAGTTGGGTTCCAACCTTGCATTCTAGTAATCCAGAGGAAGCAGCAGGCAGGAGGACAGGCAGGTGAGAGCAGTGAGTAATTTAAGTCGAGAGAAGCAAGTTGCAGAATGAAGCTGGGATTTGACTGTGGAGACCAGCGTCCAGAGGAAGGAGTAAGGTGGTGACTTGACGAGATTGCTAAAGGCACAAAAGAGATCAAGTACTTGGCATGAACAAAGAAACGAAGGGTTGAAGAACTGATGGCAACACTGGTTTTAAATACTGTCTTGTTGAATGCCACAGATGGAAAACATGTGGAGAAGTGTAGGTGTTGAACCAGGGCTCCACCCCAAAAGGCAGATGCAGAGCGCAAGGCCAGGACAGAAAACCACTGAACGCTCACCTGGATCATGACATATATAAACACAAAGATTGGTGTCTTTAGCTTTAGGACCAACCAGGTTCCCCAAAATAAAATAAAAAACCTCTTTGTGGTGAACACCTACACATCGAATAAAAAATTAAAGCATGTGAGACTCAATCATGCACACTTTGCCTGGCAAAGATTCTTTTTTATATTGTTTATTTTACTTTACTTAACATGCCAGGCATTGTCAGGCACCAGGAGGAACCCAGGATCCAATGCATCACCATAGGGTCTGACAATGAGTCCAACGATTTCATCCCATTACTTAATGGGAGTCAGGGTGCCATTACCTAGTCTGTTAGAGGTTTGTGCGTCTGTCCATGGATATGCCTCCCCCAGACCAGTCATACTGAACGATGTTACAGGCGGCATAATGTTCTCCACAGCTTCTCTAGACCCTTTCACATCTGTCACATGTGCTCAGGGTGAACCTGCTATCATCTGTGAAAAGGATAGGGCACCAGTGGTGGACCATTCTGGTATTCTACGGCAAATGCCAGACAGGCTCTACAGTGCTGGGCAGTCAGCAGAGGGTTGACAAGAGGAAGCTATGTCCCCAGGCCACCATCATAAAGTCGTTTGTTGATTGTTGATCAGAGACATTCATGTCAGTGGCCTCTCAATTTACCGGTCGATCTACCCTCACCTATAGTCACGAGCTGTGGGTAGTGACCGAAAGAACGAGATTGTGAATACAAGCGGCAGAAATGAGCTTCCTCCGAAGGGTGGCTGGCCTCTCCCTTAGAGATAGGGTGAGAAGTTCAGCCATTCGGGAGGGGCTCAGAGTAGAGCAGCTGCTGCTCCACATCGAAAGGAGCCAGTTGAGGTGGTTCAGGTATCTGACAAGGATGCCTCCTGCGCGAGGTGTTCCGGGCATGTCCCACCGGGAGGAGGCCCCGGGGCAGACCCAGGACACGCTGGAGAGATTATATCTCTCGGCTGGCCTGGGAACGCCTTGGTGTTTCCAGGGACAAGCTGGAAGAGGTGGCTGGGGAGAGGGAGGTCTGGGCTTCTCTGCTTAGGCTGCTGCCCCTGGATAATTGGAAGAAAATGGATGGATGGATGGATGGATGGATGGATGGATGGATGGTCCTGCTGCAGGTCATTTTGGAGAACTCTGGCAAGTTTCATCCTGTTCATCTTTGCACAAAGCAGCAGATACCGGCCCTCCCCATCATTCGTAACATCTGGTTTAAAAAAACAAAGATGGTGACACCGAAAACACTCAGTTTGATGCCTCAGTGCTTTGGAACTTCCCGTCGCTGATGTGGCTATATCTATCCTAAGTAAACAGTCTGTAGTTTGTATGTTTTTTCACCTTTCTCCCTTCCTTCAGAGTTGCCATGATGAAGAGGATGACGATGGAGAAGTGAAGAGTTTTGAAGTAGGTGATCAGTCGGTCTTGAATCTTCCACTAGTCTCTAGTTTTTAGCAGTTTCATTTTTAGATGGTCTGCAATGATATGCGTCACCTTTCTAACAAAGGAAAAAGAGATGGAGAAGCAGAAGCTGTTGTATCAGCAGGCTCGGCTGCACGACCGTGGCGCTGCTGAGATGGTGCTCCAAACCATCAGTGCTAGTAAAGGTAAGTCTTGGCTATCACCCCCTACTCTTTACTGTAACTCAGTGGTGGCAAATATATTACGGCCCTTGTGATAGAACCAGGCTGTCCAATCCCTATGCCTGCTTACTCATTGATGTGTTAAAAGTAAATTGTTCTGGATATGACTGTTTGGGAGCCTTCTCGATTTTTCAGTTGATTTTTTTCTGTACTTCTCACATTATAACAATATGTGAACTGTAACCGATAATAATCAGGATGTGTTAATACCTCTCCGACATTCTGGTTTAAAAATATGCTGTGCAAAAAAATATTAGTAAAATAATAAAAGTTTCAATTGTTCTTTGTCATAAACAAATTAAAAAAGCTAACAAATGCTAGTGAGTCATTTCGAGTGGGTGTTCCTCTCCTCCAGGTGAGATGGGTCCCATGGTGGCATCTACTCTGAAACTGGGCATAGCTATTCTCAATGGTGGGAACTCAACCGTACAGCAGGTAATGCTTCGCTACTTCACTGTTATTTATAATGACTGCTGGATTATAGCTATATTATCTATTTTCAAATGTTATTTATACAAAGCATACTCAAAGTAACTGGTACAAGTGTGAAATATAATGCATCTATTCCACTGAAATTTAAAATTTTTCTCATAGATTTTTACCTCTCAGTTGTAAAAGGTTTTGTCATCACCCTGGGTGGACAGGTGATGTGGACACCTACGTTTGTGAATGAACTTGAGAACGATGCAACATAGAATTTTGAAATTGACACCATGGGTGTATCTATTAAAGATATCAGATGAGTTCAAATCTCAGTAACCTTGGCTTCAAGGTCAAGGTTCGGAGGTCAAATTTTATGAAAATCTTGAGAATGCAGCGCAAAAGGGCTGAAATTGATACTATGGTGTACTGCAACACACCTTTGTGTTATGTTGCCCAGTAAGACACACAGTGTTTTAAGATGCACTGGTCTTTATTTACAATTTAGCCTTACCGGGTTGTTATCACCAGATTTCTTACTGAATGCGCAGCCATCTGCTCTCAGTTCCTGTTCCTCCTCTAGGTCCTGGCACTGCTCCCTGAACCCACTGCACCACCCCTCCCCCCGCAGCTGAGGCACAGTCCACGGCCCACCACATAGCCCTACAAATTCCCCTGGAGAGAAAATCAGCTCTGACTATGTGGGCCCTGGCCTGTGGATCACCTTGAACTTATAAGGCTGGCAAGCCAGATATGACTGGGTGATCTAGGCATTGACATCTTTCATGTGGTGGAGCCACTGCAGTGGGGCACGATCTGAACAGGGAGGTAATAACGAAGAGAGTCCACCACCCGCTGGATCGCCAGGCACTGCCATGCTCTACCTGGTTTCTTGTTCTGAGAGTTTCCAACTGATGTAGACAGCGTGATGGTCGACCCCTCTTACTTGCTGGGATGAAACAGCCCCCAGCCCTCTGCTCAACGTGTCAGTCTGCAGAACACAAGGGAAGAAAAAGTCTTCATTACCTTACACTGTCTGGCACTGCTCCGTCCACTGGACAAGATCTGGTTCACCCTTTTAGGGGAGATCAGTCAAGGGACTGGTGACCTCCGCAAATGTTGAGATGAACCAACAATAGTAACCAGCCAGCCCCAGCAACCACTTCACCTCCTTTTTGGCCCCGAGATGCGGGCAGCTTGCAGTGGTTGTGGTTTTCTCCATTTGAGAATGCAACTGCCTGCCTCCCAGGTGGTACCCCAAATACTGTACCTCCCTCTGTCCAACCGCACACTTCTTCATGTTGGCCTTGTGCCCTGCCTGCCTCAGGGACTCCAGGGCTGCAGGCCACCTGCTGCATATGATTCGATGTCACCATGGATGGTCCATGGATCCATGGATGATCATCCAGCTAGGCAGCATGTGGACACAGCATCCTGTCTGTGAAGTGCTGGAAAGTGGCTGGGGCTCTGAACAAGCCAATGGAAGTGTGACCATTTGGAACAATCTGTATGGACTGGAGAAGGCCATTTTTTTGTCCAGAGACAAGTCTGCCAGTAGCTCTTGATTAAATCCAGCATAATGATAAAACGAGCAGTACCTAACCAATCCATAAGCTTGTACCTGAGGCATGGGGTAAGCGTCAAACTGTGACACCTCCTTCACCTTGTGGTAGTCCACGCAGAACAATATAGACCCAGCTTTCTACACCACAAAAACTATGGGGCTACACCAGATGTTTTGTGACTCTTCTATCACCCCTATCTCCAGGATAACAGCCAATTCTTTCTGAGTAATTTGTCTTTTCTGCTTAGGCAATCTATAAGGGTGTGAATGCACTGAAACCCCAATGCACATCTCAAAATGGTACTCTGTGAGAGTGGTGTGACCATGCAGGGGAGAGCCTGCAACCCTGTCCGACTGCACAGGGTTGCAGCAACATCCCACACTCACTCTGTGACCAATAGTTCTTGCCGCTTGGCAGGTAATTTTGAGATGGATAAAGGGAGCAACACAAGTACTTTAACTCCCAGTGAAAATTGTCTCAGCCAAGCTCCCCAACAGTGTTGGGAAGGTTACTTTTAAAATGTATTCCATTACAGAATACAGAATACATGCCCCAAAATGTATTCTGTAACGTATTCCGTTACGTTACTCAATGAGAGTAACGTATTCTGAATACTTTGGATTACTTAATATATTATC